TTTAAGTTAAGGTTAGGTTTGGTGTAGGATTAGGGCTTGTGTTAGTGTTTGGGTTTGGGTTAGTGATAGGTTAGGGGTTAAATGATAACACGTGTTTGAAGGTTTAAGGGTTTAGGGTTAGAGTTAGGATTAGGGTTTGTTTTAGAGTTTGAGTTAGGGATAGGATTATGTTTAGGGTTAGGCTTAGGGTTAGTGGTTGTGTTAGGATTAACATTGGGTTAAAACTTGTGTTTGGGTTAGGTTTATGGCTATGTTTATGGCTAGTGTTAGCCTTAGCTTACAAACCTAACACGGTTTGTGTTAGGGTTGGGGTTAGACTTTGTGTTAAGCTTAGGGTTATGGTTTTTTTAGATAAGGGTTAGGTTTAGAGTTTGGGTTTTTGCTAGTGGTAGGGTTAGGGTAAGAGTTAATATAAGGGTTGGGGTTAAGTGTTTATGCTTAGGGGTTACATGATAACATCTGTGTTAAGGGATTAATAGTTCAGGGTGAGAGTTAGGGTTGGGATTTAGGTTGTATTAGGGTTAGTGTTTATATTAGTATTAGGTTTTATGGTTAGGCTAATTGTTTTGGTTAGGGTTACTCAGGGTTTTGCCTTAGGGTTAGGTTTGCCTTAAGGTTAGTTTTAGGGTTTGTGTTATCATTCTGGATAGAGGAAGGGTTAGGTAAGTTTTAGAGTTAGGGCAGGGTTAGCTACAGGGTCACGGTTAGGGTTAGGGTTAAGGGGTTAATGATAACACCTTTGTTAAGGATTAAGAGTTCAGGGTTAGATTTACAGTTAAGGTTATGAGTAGGGGTATGTTTGTGTTAGGGTTAGGGTTGGCATTAAGATTTTTTCTCTGGCAAAAGGACAAGTACAACATGAGTCTGCTCAGATAAGCTTTTAAAAAAATGCAAAAGAGGCATAGGGAAAAATCTACTGTATACAAACATTCCTGGGGCGAGGACCAGGTAGTATGGCAGGGACCAGACCAAATACAGGGATATATATGGTAGCCAACTAAAAAGGTGGGGAAAGGGAAAAAAATAGTAAAAAAGATATGGGTAGCGGGGGCACAGGGCACTAACCCACCCAAGGGGAGGGTATTGTTTATATCTCCACAGGGAGAGAGGGACCAGATTTCAACCCAGTGCTCCAAGATGTGAATGCAACATGCCGCCATGGAGTAGGGAACCAGTAGAGAGGTCAGAGGGGTTGGCCCTAATCCCAACTACTATGTGGGGACCTGCCCCTCCCCCCCAGAAGAATTTATTTCAAAGGATGGCACTGAATCTGCAGCTCCGGGAGAGGGATATATCTGATCAGAGCACACAGGAGCAGATGAAGGGGGAGGAGGAGAGAGTGGAGCACATCCTGGCCCACCAGACCTTGAAGACGGTGTTCCCAATTAATGCAGCCAGTCCAAAGAGAAGACCACATGGCCATCACCACTATGAGACACAACATCCCTCACTGACCCATAGCCCTACAGGGGACAACACCGGAGACACAGTGTGGGAATTGCGCCCGAACTAATCCCGCCACACCGAGGCAAAACACTAAGGGGTGCAACAGAACAGCAGGGGAACGGAGCGGTGAGGTCCCCAGGGAATGCTGAAGGTGGCTTTTGGGGCCAGGGCATGGTGTCCCAACAGACTGGACTGGAAAACACTCCTAAAGGCCAACAAACAGACCTTGAACTAGTTACAAGCTTTTCTTTCTTGTTTTGTTTTGTTTTTGTTTTTTTTGTCATTGGTTTGTTGTTGTTTTGTTGTATATTGTTGCTTGGTTTTGCTCTGTCTTGTTTTGTGCATGTTATATTCTCCGTAGGTCTGTCTAAATAAGATAGGCTGAATGAACAATCTGGAGGAGAAAACAACGGAACCTCGTTCCGGGGGACATGGGAAAGGGTGGGGGGAAAGGTAGTGGTGTTAAAAAATCCAGGGACAAGGGAACAAGTGATCCCAATCGGTGGTGAATAGGGTGGGGGAGGCCTGGTAGGTCGTGATCAATGGTAATTAACCGAGAGGAATTACTGAAACCCAAATGAAGACTGACTATGATAGTGGGACAAGAGGAAAGTCAAAGGAAATAGAGGAAAGAGTTAGGAGGCAAAGGGCATTTTTAGAGATCTAAATAAACATGTAGATATATGCAAATATATATGAGGATAGGAAAATAGATCTATGTGCATATATTATAGATTTAGTATTAAGGTAGCAGAAGGACACTGGGCCTCCACTCAAGTACTCCCTCAATGCAAGAATACTTTGTTCTATTGAACTGGCATTCTATGATGCTCACCTTCCCGATACAACTGCTGAAGACAAAGCGGGTGAGTAAGCAAATGTGGTAAAGGAAGATGATGGTGCCCGGCTATCAAAAGATACAGCATCTGGGGTCTTAAAGACTTGAAGGTGAACAAACGGCCATCTAGCTCAGAAGCAACAAAGCCCACATGGAAGAAGCACATCAGCCTGTGTGATCACAAGGTGCCAAAAATCAGTTTTCAGACATCAAAGAATAAAAAATCATATCATTGTATGCTCACCTCCCTGATATGATCGCTGAAGACAAATGGGTACATGAGCAGATGTTGCGAAAAAAGCTGATGGTGCCCGGCTATCAAAAGATATAGTGTCTGGGGTCTTAAAGACTTGAAGGTAAACAAGCGGCCATCTAGCTGAGAAGCAATAAAGCCCACATGGAAAAATCACACCAGCCTGTGCGATCACGAGGTATCAAAGGGATCAGATATCAGGCATCAGAACAAAAAGTCATAGTGAACGAGGGTGTGTGTGTGTGTGTGTGTGGAGTGGAGACCCAAAACCCATTTGTAGGCCACTGGACATCCCCTTACAAAAGGGTCTCGGGGAGGAGGTGAGCCAGTCAGGGTGTGATGTAGCAATGATGAAACATACAATTTTCCTCTGGTTCCTAAGTGCTTCCTCCTCCCGCACTATCATGATCCCAATTCTACCTTACAAATCTGGCTAGACCAGAGGATGTACACTGGTACAGATAGGAACTGGAAACACAGGGAATCCAGGATGGATGATCCCTTCAGGACCAGTGGTGTGAGTGGGTGGTACTGGGAGGGTTGAGGGAGGATGGGTTGGAACGGGGAACGGATTACAAGGATCTACATGTGACCTCCTCCCTGGGGGACGGATAACAGAAAAGTGGGTGAAGGGAGACGCTGGACATGGCAAGATATGACAAAATAATAATGTATAAATTATCAAGGGTTCATGAGGGAGGGGGAAAATGAGCTGATGCCAGGGGCTTAGGAGGAGAGCAAATGTTTTGAGAATTATGAGGGCAATGAATGTACAAATGTGCTTTACACAGTTGATTGTATGTATGGTTGTGATAAGAGTTGTATGAGCCCCTAACAAAATGATTTAAAAAAAAGTGGGTTGGCAGGACTCAGTAAAAAAAAAAAAAAAGATTTGTGCTCAGGTTAGGGTTAGGTTTAGAGTTAGCATCACAGTTGTATTAGGGTTAGGGTTTGTGCTAGAGTTAGGTTTTAGAGTTAGGGTTAAGTGTTAGGGTTACTGTTAGGACTTATGTTAGGGTTAGGGATAGCTTTAGGATTTTTTTAGGGGTAGTGTTAGGATTAGGTTTATCATTAGGGTTTGTGTTAGGGTAATGATTAAAGTTAGGGTTTTTGTTAGGATTAGGGTTAGGGTTCATTGTAGGTTTAAGGTTATGTTTTGGGTTAGGTATAGGGTTTGGTGTTTTTTTTTAATGTTAGTGTTAGTACTAGGTTTTGGGTTAGGTTTAAGGATATGTTTAGGGGGTTGATGATAACACTTCTAATAAGGATTAAGAGTTCAGGGTAAGGGTGAGGGTTAGAGTTTGTTTTATCTTTCGGGGTTGGGTTCCGGTTATGCTCAGAGTTAGTGTTTGTGTTAGGTTTAGGGTTTGTGATTGTGTTAGGGTTTTTGTTAGGATTAGGTTTAGGGTTGAGGTTTGGGTTAGCTTAAGTTTAGGGTTTGTGTTAGGGTTAGGCTTAGGAGTAAGTGATTACAGCTTGTTAAGGATTAAGAGTTCAGGATTAGAGTTAGTGTTAGACTTAGTTTAAAGTTGAGGATTAGCGTTTGTTTTAGGGTTAGGTTTAGGGCTAAATTTAGGGTTAAGATTCTTGTTACAGTTTGTGTTTGGGTAAGTATTAGGGTTAGGGTTTGTGTTTTGGTCATGTTTAGGGTTAGGAGTTAAGTGATAACACCTGTGTTATGGATTAAGAGTTCAGGGTTAGAATTAGGGTAAGGGTTAGGGTTACTTTTTGTTGGTTAGGGCTGGGGCCAACGTTAGGATTAGCCTTAGGGTTCCAGTAGGGGTTAGAATTTGTTAGGGGTAGGGTTAGGCGTAGGTTAGAGTTAAGGTTAGGGTTAAGTTTAGGTTTGTGTTAGGATTAGAGTTTTTGTTAAGGTTAGAGTTAGGTTTCAGGTTAGTGTTAGGGTTTAAGTTAGGTTTAGGGATAGGTTTTATTGTTAGATTTAGGGGCTAGGGTTTGTGTTAGAGTTAGGGTTAAGCTTGGTGTTAGGGATAGGTTTGGGGTTAGGTGTAAGTGATAACACCTGTGTTTACGATAATGATTTGTTAGATTTACCTTTTGCATTAGGGTAGGGGCGAGGTTTTTTGTTAGGTATAGTGATAGGGTTAGGTTTTTGTTAGGGTTGGGTTTAGGGAAAAGGAAAAATAAATAAATAAAGGAATTTGGAGTGAGAATAAAAGAGACTAAACCTACCTCACTAGGAAGATCAAGTGAGATCACATCGATAAATGAAACTACACTGTGGACTCTAAAAACTATAAAATAGAGTATAACAAAAGTGCTTCTAAGTCCCTCCAGGAAGGTACACTCAACAGTCTAAGCTTTCTATGCTTTCAGAACCTGTATGGCAGTCCCCAAGAATCACATCTTTGGGTAACACAAAAGACGTTGATAACCAATTTCCAAAATTCACTAATGAACAATCAGGTCTTGACAAGACATTTAACATGGATTCAAGTGTACCCTAAAAACACTTTGTAAGTTTTATTTTACCTTAATATACATTTTTTACAGGCAATAATAAAAAGGCTAGTAGACAACAATTCAGTGAGTTTATCTGGTTTCGAGAATAATGCATGCAATTACAAATGAGAGGTAGAAACACTGTATTAAAGACCTAAAAATACAAACATCATATAAATAAATGTTCAAATTAACTGCTGGCATTTCATACAGATAAACAGGTAGAAATTACATTATTTTGTCAAAGTAATGAAAAAATCCTATTTGTATTATCAATATACTAAAATTAGATTAATGCCAAAGAGTTTCTGTATAATTTATCAGGTTATAGTTTCTAATAGGATTAAAATAAAGGAAAAACTGGAGACTGGGTTATTCAAGTATTCAAGCAGGTAAGTAAAAGAAACAATATAAAACACTATTTCTGGAGGGGTGCTTATGGTTTTCTCCATGATTAACTGTTTGGTGAACTATCAGAACTAATACGAAAAACACACAGAGAGCTGGAGAAAGCTGCCCATTTTCCTTAGAGAATATCAACTTGTTTTAGTCCTAGTAAAATTCTTGATGTATGTATGATATTTGCTCTAATATTACCCAAATAAATCTAGCCTTTAGTAGAGATTGCAGGCATCAATGCACATTCTGCATGCTCAGTATGAAATGCAACCAAAAGCAAATAACCAGCAACTGAAAACATCTGAGAAAATTTATAATTGTGGATGAATAAGTTAAAACAAACAAAACCCCCCCAAAATTTAACATGAATTAAGTTTGTTTGTTTATCTTTAAAAGTCCACTAGAGATTATATTTAAATTATGGAAATAGTTTAAATAAGTCCATTTAAATTGCAAAATCCAATGTAGTTGGATTTTTAAATTGCAAAATCCAATATAGTTGTTTTTTTAATAAAGGAGTGCAATATGAAATATTTTGGAAGATTAACATAGGAGCATATTGAAGACATCATAATTTCTTCTCAGAGCCATCTGTGCCTCTTCTTAAGCTACCATTGACTGAGCTGTTTTAGGATGCATGTTAAGATTTAAACAAAGTTACCCCAAATAACAAACTGCTTGGATGAGATACAGATATTTCCACTTTATTACCTCAGTTATTTTTAGTAGTTTGAGTCAGACATACTAAACAACTTAACATCATTCTAATCCACATGGAATTCACTACATTGCACTCATGAAGTAAATAATGGGCCACTCGCGTGGTTTCATTTTAATTCTCTGTACGAATAACTGTACTGATAATGCCAATTCCACGGTACATTTATTTACTAGGTTCATACAGAGCCAAGTGGGAGATTTTTACTTCTGCTTGCACAAAGAAAAAGAGCAAAGGTGACTTCTCTGATATGTCAGACTTCCTACAAACGTTTCATTTTGGCATTATTTTTCATTTTTTGAAATCACTGTGTGTACTTTGGTTGTCAAATGTTAAGGAACTAACAGTTTTCTGGGGAGGGCAATTGAACCCAAGCAGAAATTCCAAATGTATCACTTCACATTTCCAGACTGGTCCGTGGGACAAATGTGCTGCTGCTTACATCACCATGGTGCTATAGCAAAGTACCGATAATCTTCTTTCAATACTAGACTTATCTAGAAATAAAACAAAAATTAAGTTCTTAATAAAAATAATTTCTATTTCCAGACCAGGGAAAGAATTAATGTATCTTTCAAACTTAGGGGAGAAATCATTCTTTACCCACACATCCTCATCTCTGTTGTATCCTTTCCCCAAAGTAACAGTCCTGAATAGTTTCTTTTTTCTGCCTGATAATAGTTAAGATTTCTAGTTTAATGCTGCAAAGTAG